TAATTGAGAGGGTTATTTTGGTAAATGGAAGATGAGGAACTGGGGTAATTTGAACCATATCCTTTTCGACGGCTTTTTCTCCATTCTAAATGCTCTCACATGTTAACAGTAAAACGTCATCTTCAAAGTCGAGAGTATATTGTTATAAAATACTGCGTTCCAATCAGAGGCTAAACAAGGTTGATGATTGACTTTTATTTAGGGATGACAACTGGATGAATCGAGGTCAGCGTAGTCATTCTTGTTTTCTTGTGTCATTCGGATTTTTTTTCCCTTTGCCTTGCCCCTATCCTTGCTCACAGGCGGGGCGCACCTCCTGCCCTTTTTATCGTCCTCTTTTTTATTATTATTTTTTCTTTCATTTTTTAATGTATTTAGATGGTGAAAATCATTGGTATTTTTCAATTTTTAGAATAGTTCATATTTCCTTTAATGATGATGATTCTTTTCTTGTTATGTGATCAGAAACTTATATCTTGAAATCGACTTTAAATTAGTTTGGAATCGAGTTCTCTGCACCTGTCTCGTCCTCGCTCCAGGGCAAAACACCTATCCCGCCTTGAGTACCGATTAAGCGAGGAATTCTGCCCCGTTCAGATCTGGGCCCTCGTTGATATTGAGTTTAATGAGTTATTTTTTTAATTTTTTTTAACATCCCTCGGTTTTAAGTTTCTCTTATCAAAAAGCAAGTAGTACAATTTTTTCTACTCGCAAATCATCTATTTATTATAACAGTAATAATAAAAATATATTTTTAGTAATTGATTTTCCATTTCACAAATCAACTTAGGGATTAACATTTTCCATTTCACATTTCACAAAAAGGGTCAGAGAAAATTTCAACCAATGGAGCCAAAATTTAATTTCATTCACCTTCACAGATTGTCATGTGGATGATATGAAGATAGATAGCTGTCTTGCTGAATTTTGTCATAGAATGTAAATGTCGGAGAATATATATATATATATATATATATAATATATATATATATAGACATATATATATATATATATACATATATATATATATATATATAGACATATATATATATATATACATATATATCAAAAGAGGGGGTCCCTGAAATAAGGATTGTTTCAAGGGTTTGGAGGCTGTTGTAAGATGTTGTTATAACAAATTATAAAAATCCTACTCAGTACTTTTCTTAATTATTATATCTTTTTCTTTTGATAAAATAATATCCTTTTTTTTTTTCTTTTTTTTTTTTTTTAACAAAAGCATGCCATCTGAGATATATGAACTTGGGCCTAACTCCATTCTTTTAAGGACACCACTGGCACTCCCTTAAAAAGAATTCTTAAAACAGTGATCCCTTTCCCTCTTCTATGCGTCTCCTAGCCTCTCCACTGGGCCTTTACGCTTTGAGAGGTCACTCAGGGCTTATTTTAAAAACAGTTTAAACTTTTAACTTGGAGTTAAGACATGTTTTTATCATATACTCAGCATGAAACATAAAATTCTTTACAAGAATTAAAAATTTTTATAAACAAACATTGTTCTTATAGGATCTGGAACTAATATTAACTATTAGTACCATACCTTAGAACTATAAAAATACCTACTGGAATGATCCATCAGTAGTTTAGAAAAGAAAATATTTTTGTGGGATATTATTCTATGTAAGAATAAGAACAATTAAGAATTTCCCTTTCGGGAAGGAAAGAAAATTAGAACATATTTGAGAGAAACCAAAACTTTGTATTGTATATTTTTTCTTGTGTATTACAAATGAAAGAATGATCTCATTTTATAGGAGAGAAAGACGCATTTTTCAAAAGCAAGACATCTTTGCTTTTGAAAATGTCAAAAAGAAAATAGTAAAAAGATATGAAATCAAATCTTACTTTATCAAACAGTAAGATTCTTTACAAATTTTTTCAAAAAGAAAACAGTAAAATTCTACTTTTCGTACAATAATTCTTGATATTTCTTGAATTCTGGACACAAAAGTCTTGGAGTGATAAAGTCTGATCTGAAAAACTCTTGTCTTTTTGCCAAATGTCTGAGTAAGTCCTTATCTTGTTGCATAATTGTGTCTGCCAATACTGTCTAAAGAATCTCCTCCGTCAATACATCCATCTGAATTATCTTCTTCTGAATTATTGTCTTCAAATTTATCAAAGTCTTTTTCTTGTTCAAACTTCTTTTTGCCTTTATTTTTCTTTTTAATCTGTATTTTCTTTTTCTTCGTAGTACTTTGTTTAACTTGTTGCCGTATTTCTTCAATCTTTTCAAACATTTCTTTAATTCTTCTAATATCTGATTGAGAAATATGTTCTGGATTTTGAGCTGATTGAAATGATTCTAGAAGGTTAATTGGGCTTTTCTGTTTAAGATCCATTGGACTAATAAGTCTAGTAACAGAAATTCCAGTCTGTTGTGTCTGGTCTTCAGAAAAAATTTTATTTTCTATAACAGGATTTTCAGCCTGTTGAGTTTGATTAATAGGAGAATCAACAGTCCCCTGAGTCTGTTGAGTTTTTGGTAAGCCCAGAACCATAAACGGATTTGATAAGTCTTTACCAGCTTCCGTTTGAGCTGGACTAGCTATAGAATTCTTGGGCTCTATAGTACCTGCTTGAGTCTGGACAATTGGATTTGAAATTTTTAAATTAATAATTTCTTGTTCTAATTCAGAGATTTTCTTTTGTAAAACTAATTTTTCTCGTTGTAAAGACTGATTTGACTCATTTAAAATTTTAAAATTCTTAGTCATACATTCACAATGTTCACAAAATTTAGAAGCATAATCTAAAGGCTGATCTGAAACATTCTTTAAAGAAGGAGGAACAAAATAATTAATTCCTATAAATTTTCTACATTCTTGTAATGCTTCTGAAATAGAATAAAATCCTTTATATAGAGGATTTGGAAAATTCTTTATACAATCTGAAACTTCTAACCAGATATGATAAATTTCTGGAAGTCTTCCA